AAAATGCCCTTAAATTAACCTTCTCCAAAAGAACTTTTGTGAAACTCTGTCATTTGGGCATACTGAGATCTCTGCTTGGATAGTTAGCCTCCTCTACGGCTTCCTTTTCAGTGTATGAAGTGATGAATTCTAGCAGGATCTGCAGCAATTTATATTACTTTGTACCTGACAGCACAGAGATCCCTGGTGTTCCTCAAGTCTGGAATTTGAATTTTTGTCTTTATGTATAATGACTAGATTTGTGTTGTTCCCTCATTCAAAAATCAATTAGAATAAATCTGTCCTTCTTCTAAGGAGTGTTATATCCCATTGGTGTGGTTTGTATCCTCTGGCGTGGTGTACGGGAACTATGCTGAAATGCTATGGAGCCCCCAGTACAGATTCATGCAATTTGCAGGAGCTGGTCACACTTTTCAGCTGACAACACTGTAGAAATCTCCATGGAAATACAACAGAAAGTATATTAGCCTTTACTATTTGAATAAAATCCATCACAGTTATAAGTTGGTCTTGGTTTGTTGTATTATCCCCCTTAGCGTCGTACTCCCATTTCTGCTACTTTCTTACAGCAGAACACATGTTACGCATTAGTAGCATGGATGATATGGGAAACAAGAATGTTGAAATTGTATTGAACATGTTCCAGATGTTAGTATCAAACAAGGTTGGGCCTGCATTAAGTTTTCCTTTAAAATATTCTTATTAATTGGAAGTGGAAAATAATTCAATACTAAATGTTTCTCTAGAATTCTAAATTCACTAATAATTTGCCATCGTAAAACACATGTAATAAGCAGTTCTTATAAAACTGCCTAACCTGCTTTCCATCTTCAAAAGGCTTTGCAGGTATTAAGCAACTAAGATTTGATTGTGGTAAGTGCCAGGATTTGCTAACATGGTTAAATGGATACATGGTCCAAAGTTAAACAAAAGCCCGAGGATGGCTGTGCGTGCACAGCTGCCTTCTCAGCAGAGAAGGGACTAAGGGCTTGTAGCTGCACTAGGATGTATAAACTGGAAGATACTTTTGACTCTTTAAGGGCCAGTTTGATGGGGGTGAGATGCAGGAGAGTATCTGTACGCGTTTGGAGCTGATGAGGCAATCCTGATGCGTTAATTGGATGAACTGGCCCTTAAGCAGTGATGGTAGTGAATTTTAGCAGGATGCCGGTGTCGCTGATGCAGGGGAGGTAAGCAGGAACAGGGTGTGGGGTTGGGTGGGAAGCTGGTGAGCCTGATACTGGCATTTGTGCAGGGCAGAGCAGCAGAACAGTAAAGCCCAGGCAGGATGGGCTGCTGTTTCATGTTGGGTTTGAAATACAAGCAGGCGGCGCAGAGGTGATAAACTATCAGATGAGTAGTGTCACAGAAGGGGCTTTCCATTTGTTTTTTTGAGACTGGTAAATATGCATTTTGTAGGATTTAAACTACCTAGGGGATGTAACTAGCTTTCCAGTCAAGAGGAAGGTGGCAGGAGCTGTCTGTGAGGGAGCCAAGAAGGGTGAGAGCAGTTTATTTGGGAAGAAGAGCGCGCTCGCTGCTCCCACTGGAGTGTCAGTGCCTCGGAGTGGCACATACCTGTCTTCGACTGGGATAGACCTGCAGGTGCAGTAGGAAGTGCTGCAAAGAAATGTTGTTAATTAATGTTTAGTGAATAGCTAGGTGGTGCTGGTGTGCGTACAGTGTAAGAGTAGGCCAAAATAGCGCATAAATGGAGAGAAGGTGGCAGAAAGAAGAGTCTTATGCCACATACTGGCTGAATATCAGTGGACTTTGTGATCTAGAAGTGAGTTTTCCGTTCACTTGGCACTAGCTCCAGGCGTGCAGGCATATACTGGGCATGGCACTACAGCCACTTTAGTGATTGGGCAAATATGTGAATTTCAGTGCATGAAGATTGCTGTCTAGTACTGCCAGCACAGTTAAGAGAAATAATGTTCATGAGTCTTGAGTTCCTAGGAAGGGTAGTACAGGCATGGGACATAGCTACGCAGGCACCTACGCGAAACTCTGCAAAAATGCAACATGTGGAGTAACCCCTTTGTTATTTACCCCACTGTCATTCCTTGTATGTGGGCAGTCTTACAGTATATGTGGTCTGAATGCAGTAGTGCCAGCCTTCAGGAGATACTCTGATCTTCGGTTCAAATTTCAAGGACTGTATCTTGGTCACTCATGAGGCTGGTCTTGAAAGCAACTCTACCAGATGCAGTAACTCCCCCAAAACCTTGATATCTTATATTGAGCAGCTCAAAGCAACTCTGTGCACCCCTTCCTTCAAAACAGAGTGGACAGAAATGACATGCCCCAGGCTGGTGGGGCACGAGCCAGTGCATGTCCGGATGCCATGCAGCTGTACTGGTGTAAGAGCAGACCTAGACCAGTAAGGCCTGGCGAAGAAGCCCTGCTTGAGACTGGTACAGCCACGTGGGCTTGCTGCCAGCAGAGAGATGGCGTTTCTGCAGGAGATCTGGCCCATGTCCAGCTGGGACGGCATGCAGGCAGGGCGGGCATGCCTTGGTCTGCCCTTCACTGTGCAGATAAGCTCAGCTGCCCACAGTTATCCGGAATGTGAACTTCTGCTCCCTCCAGGGGTATTTCCATCTTGCACGTCGAGCAGGACAGAGAGCCATGAAAGAAGGGCTTTCTTCACTTGCACTTGAGGTGCTGGCAAGGGAGACGGTTACAGACAGCCTGAACGTACCAGTCACTGTCGTCTTCATGTGGATGAGTCCTTGTAGGAAGTGAAGGGAAAATCCAGGTGTCTTCTCCTCTGATGTGGCAAATTTGTACAGTATAAGGACCAGATGAAGGCTGGAGGGGAGGATTGATGAATGTACTCCATGGAAATAGGTGTTCACAAGGGAATTCATCTGCTGAGAGGGAGGTATTAGCTCTTTCTCCTGATCCTTTGCTAAGGAAAATGCACGTTTTTGTCAGCAACTCCATTTCTGTCTTGTTCTGAGTCTTGCACCTTGTTCTTCATATGTGTTATGATAGAAGCATCTTAACAAATGTCAGCTCTGTTCTGGTCTTCAAGAAACAATTCAACCAAAGTGCTCCTTGGCTCTGAGTTTGTTCCCCAGCCCAAGAAGTGCTTGTGGAGTTTAGAAGTGCTTTTTGTGCAGGTTGTATAACGTGGTCTGCAGCAGGACTCACACATCAGTGGCTGGGCTAATTGATTAGTAAGTTCTCTGATCTGCACTTGTACATCAGGAAAATGAGGTCTCTCTGCTGGTTCTGTTATTGTTACAAATTCTAAATATTTCTTCAACCGTTACAACGGGCAACTTGTTCATAGGTTTATTTAATTTATTTTTTTTTTTAAATTGAGTATCATTGCTTGGACTGGTCCCATTTTTTATGCATATTCTTAAAAAGAAATTTAAGAAAACCCCCAAACAAACCTCAAATCCTCCACGCTGGTGGTCAGTACTACTACCAAGCTCACCATAGAGAGAGCAGAAAGTTTGTTTATCCTCTGTACCCCAAGCACAGGCATGCGTAATTTATGCCTTGAGCATTGCCTTTAACAAATATTCCTGTTCTGTGGGAGCTGGCAGGGTACGTGCTATGCACCGGTGGCTTTCAGGAACGGCCCCTTTGGCAGGACAAGGCACGCGTGGCCCCAGGCACTGCGGAAATCTCCCTGTGCTCAGGGGCCTCGCTTTTTCCAGATGAAGTCTCTTTTAAGATGGACTCTCTGACTTCTAAATGGCCAGCTGCTGACTGTATCTTGAGTGAACTGTCTTTTTAATCAGCAAAGTGTAGGCCGGCGCTAATATAATATGTGTGCATCAAAGTCAAAAGAACTCTAGTGCTACAATAGCTGGATGTAGATTTCACAAAACCAGAGCGAGCTCTGCCATTTGATCAGTTGAGGATTTTTTTTTCATTTTGAACTCTTTTTGAAAGAAGCATTTTATTTCAATTGCAGATGTACACTATCTGGAAAAAAAAAAAATCATGCTTCTAGCTTATATTTCTCTTTTATGCCTTGTACCCTCTGAACTGACTAGTTCATGTGAGTCTAATCCTTATCTGAGTTACTTTGGTGCAAATTAGGGGTTAAGTCAATTGACATTCTCCTGTGACCTTCTGAATCAAAAACATACTGTATCTGTTATGGTCAGGGGTGGGTTTGAGTCCTTTTGGAAAGCAGGGCTGCTTTTCATAAATATTTGTCTTGCTTTAGTTTCCTGAGATATAGTTTAAATGTAAACTGCTCCGTATGTTTCAGCTTTTGTGCTATCTTTCTATATCACATCACACTGTCTCACGTACTATGTAAGAGTATGGTACTACATCATGCTGTGGTGATTATTTGAAAGGGCGTACACTCTGTTTTGGACTAGATATCTGTTATCAGTGCAGATAATTGCTGTCAGACACAAAATAGACTCAGTAAACAAACATTTCATTTTATCATGTGACAGATGCCTGCTGTTTTGTACATTCTATTTGAACGACATTCACTATAAATCACCACTGCTTCAAAAGCAACAAATCCAACTTGCCCAAATCCTTCCTGATGTAATTACTTTATACTAGAGATTAACTTTCCATTGTTATATATACACATGATTACATTTTTCAATGTTTGGAGATAACAATGTTTGACATAAACAAATAATTCACATCATTCGATGAACCAATTCTTCCTACCACTGTCACTGCTTTGTTTTTTTTCCTTTGGGTGTTCCCCCCCTCCCCTCCTTATCCTTGGTTTTCTCCCTGGTAAAGACAAGGCTACCTTCAATTTTGGAATTCATACTTTAAATTTAGACTTTCAGAGAGAAATGAACCAACAAGTTAGCATATTCAGGAGAACTTAAAAAGGCAACAGAAATAAATGTCTTCATTTTGTGAATAATGATCATGAAGCCTATGCTTGTGTTCCTGTGGGTTTTGTGACCAAAGGGATGATCATTATTTGACAGGTGTAATCTGTGTATTGCTTTTTTTCTCCAAATGATGTGCATCTCTGTCTTCGTCTGCAGGTCCTGTGCCACAGAGTGAATGTGTCTTATTGCCTGTTAATAATTCGCACCCCGTCCATGCCTTATTGGAGAGTTTTACAGTCTTATCCGGCTGTGCAAGCCGAGGCACAACAGGCCTGCCGCAGGAGGTGCACGTCCTCAATCTCAGAAATCCCGAGGAGGGTCTTGGCCATCATGAGAGAGAGGTAAAGGGGAAATTACTTTTCGTCCAGATCCCTAGCTACAAGTGTGTCTGCAAATGGGATTGTTCTACATTAATTTGCTGAATAAAGTTATTTCTGAATTGTGACCAGAAAGACTACAAAGAAGCATGTGCAATTTGTGTGGATGCTGTTCACCTATGGTTTGCGTGTCATATGAGTAAACCGCTTCCATACTCAGCCACTCCATCACCTTTCACAACCACTAAGTATACTTTAAAAAGGTGGGAGGGTGGGCAAAGGAAACAAGAAACAGATTTAGATCTACAAGAGGCCTTTACAGAATTGGCTGTCTTCAAAAGCCGATCGTTTACCTAAATGTGTTGTAAATTAACATGAATAGCTTTGGATCCCTGCCATGACCACTATAAACAAATATTTAAGTTCAGATTCTTTTACCCCTGTAATACATCCTTAATGCTTCACTGAGGGGGGACTGCCATACAGAAAGCAAGTGTTGTTGACTAGGGTAGTACTTAAATGCAGTCCAATTACTTATTTATGTATGTTGCACTCGGAGGGACTGGCAAGAACTTGAGCTGTTCTGAAAGCAACAGCACAACAAGAAAATTTTTGATGTTAAGTTGTGCAGTACTGTTGTTTACTCTCAAACACATCAAAACAGAGTGCTGAAGTGAAAAGAAAACATTGCATGCCATGACAGCTGAGCTTCTTAGTTCATGTTCTTACAGTATTACACACACAAATCCTTAGTACGGCATCATGTGAGAGCAACGTGCGTGTACACAATTAACAGAATTTGTAATGAGAGAACAAAGATGATGATCTAGCAGGCGGAAGCTTAGAAAAAGAGGGTCTAAATCTGTGCTGAAAGAACTTTTAAGTGGAGTCTTTTATAGAGATTTAAATAAAGGCCGATACTCTTGGCCGTAATCAAAGTCTTTCCACTGACTTCAATGGCAGCCTTGTTGGGTTTGTGGTGTGTTCAGCTCAATGTGTATTGTATGCGTCCGTGACACTTCCGCTGTTGTGATCATTTTCGGTATATACATTGTCTGAAATACCTAGTGTATGATGAAGTTATTTACTGTTTTTTTCAGTAGGATTCTCATTGGCTGCCCTTAATCAAAAAAGTCAGGTCTTCAGTTCAACTGTCATAAAATGAATAGAAAAAGTAGACTTTTCTGTGCAGCTGGGAATGAGTAATAGAGATTTTTTTTTTTTGTTTGGTTTTTGTTTTTTAAAGCCTTTCATAGTTTGCCAGGCACAGGGTTATCAGCTTGATGAGTACACTGTGAATGCCTGAAAAAAGTATAGGTACAAATCAGTTCTCTGGGCATGAAAAACAAATTGTAGTTGAAATCTCTTCTTTTTTTTTTTTTTTTCCTTTTTGGTAGCATAGTTTTCTTATGAAAACTAAACAGACGTGATTCTGCTTCTGATTTGTCAGTGCCTCTCTCATCACTCAGGAACCTTTAAATCCATTGGCAAGACATAGACAAATTTGTTATGAGGACTAGATTTCACAAGGTAATCACAACTTTTGTTGAAAATGGGCAGAAGAGTGCCCTCTCTGTGGGGACGTGGTATAGTGGGAGCTTGTAACTTACTAGTTACTAAAGTGAGCCCGGGGATGGGATGAAGCAGGCTACAGCTGGGTCTCGTACCTCCTGAGAGCCCAAAATGAATCAAGTGCAAAGCGCACATTTGCATAAACCCAAATTTCTCTCTGGTTTGATGCTTCTACCACCACTTGCGTAACAGTGCATCTTCTGCACTGTTGTGTGTGCACACACAACATGAGCTACAGTCACGCATGCACAAGGTTGCAGGCTGTGCCACTACTGTCTAATAGTCTTGACAGAATGATAGATTTAAATATTTGGCTTTGAATAAAAATAGTTGCTGTTTAGCAGAAAGAGGCTGATTGTGTCTCCTCTAACGTGCTTACATTAAGAAAACAGTTTGCCCCAAACTGTCTTTTCTGTACTTCTGTGGTATATGAAAGTGTAGGGCACAGAATATATTTCACAATTTGTAGCCCTTTGCCTCCTTCTCCCATGTCTCAACCAGCTTCCAGTTACAGCCTGTGGAGATGGCTGCTCTAAAAATGCACAGGAAGCTGGAGCAAGGCTTGCTGGCGACAGCGTCAAGCAAAAGAGTGTAAACAACTTGGAAAGATCGGATTTTACTTATAGGATCAGACTCGGAAAACAAAGCAGAGCAAATGTTATCTTTTCCATTATTGTGAAAACCAACTCCAAGTGGCCTTTTGTCTTAAAGTAGAATGTACCCATCACCTCAAGTTACATTAGTTTGATTTACCAGCTGAGGTATTTCCTGTTGCCTGCAAATGCTGATAGCAAAGCTAGAGATTTGTTTGTCATACACTATTTCCAGTGTACTCCAAAATAAAACTAGTATTTTTGTTTGACAGTACATTACTTAGATTCAGCAGCATCGAAAGCATGTTTAAAATAAATCATGCATTCATTCAGAGGTTGGCTGAAGTTCTGATGACATGGAATGCAAGATCTGAAAATCTTTAAGTGAAGGCTTGCTTTGGGGGAGGAGGTCGGGTTTTGTTTTGTTTTTAACCTGCCCTGTGCTAGATGCTGCTAAATTACACATTCCTTACTTGCTGGGAGGAGTGTAAACTTCCCCTAGCAAATTCCTTGGAGAGCTCATGCATTAAACATACTTGTGCAGTTATCCTGGTTCTCGTAAATATGCAATGTACATGTATGTATTAATTTAACTTATTTTGACACTTGGATAGAATATACAGACAACAAACGTTCTCAAATTTAAACACTGGAGGGGTGGCTGATGCGGGGGGGAGGGCATGGCAGGGGCATGTGTTCCTTCTGTAACACACATAGGCTTTTCTGTAAAGATCAGTAAGGTTTGGGTGCTCTTTATTCCCTGAAAACAGAAAAAAAAATAATGGGTGGACTAGAGATGTGTGCGATTATGTACTCTGAACAAACTTTGCAAAACTAAATCAGTAATTTAGCGGTTTCAGGTTAAGGCTGAAATCTGGTAAATATAAGGTCATATCCTGAAATGCTGTAATCATACCTGTGATCTTCAAGGAATTTGTTCGTCTTCTACTTTGTTAATCCCTGTTGGGGTGACATGTCATTTGTTGAGACTGTGAAGACGCTTTCTTCAAGTAAGAACCCCAAAAGTTCCAGTCTTTTTCAGGTATTTCTTAGAAATGTCTTTTATCACAATTCATGTTGGCCATGCTTTATCATAGGAAATAGAATACGGGTGCATGTAATAGTCACAAGTGTTTATATTGAACTTGGCATGAGAAATGCAAGCCTTTTTTGTTTGTTTTATTTGATCAAATATTCCTGGGGAAGTGAGTGCATGTGTGCATTTCTGTACTGATCTGGGTCTCAGCTGAAAGCCAGGAACTACTGAACTCTTACAATAACTTTATCTTCAGCTTTGGGTGTCTTCACTGCTTCACTTTACCAGTTTTTAGAAAGGAGGTAGTTGCTTTCTCATGGAGCTGCTTCTTTTGGTATGAGAAATAATTGTTTGCAGAGGCACTTGGAAACTCTAGAGATTTGCACGAGAAAAATGTGTATATGAAGATGTAAAAATGATTCTAAGATGAAAGTCACTCCTTAGATAGGTATATTATCAAGTCCTAAATTAATGAAGGATTTTTTTATTATACCTGTCCATTGAATTTCCCTGAGCTGCTTCAGGCACACAGCCACAATTGAAATAGCTAAAGGGGGAGCAGGGGCATATAAAATTAATCTCATGTGAATACTTAGGATTGAAGACATGTGAATACATGGAATCAGAGTTCCTGGCAGTGGATTCACTATTGTTTTCGTTGACATCCTCATCTTCAATAGCTTTAAGATGTTATGCCTGATACAGATGTTTAACATGTGTTATGTGAAATGGAAGGCAGGAAAATCAAGGACTCATCTTTTTTTTTTTTTTATAATTTTGAGTAATGCCGCTAAGTCCATAACAAATCAACAGACTTTTTCCCCACTGTTTACTCAGTGTTACTTGGCAACAATTTCATAATAAAAAATATTTTCCTTTGAGAGCTAACCTGATACTAAAATGCCTGTTTGTTCCTGTGGAGCAGCCTAATTATAACAGCCAGGTACTTACTAGTGATGTATCTCAGGTTCCTGAGCTGGCTCACTTAAAAGTCATAATACGATGAGCAAAATTAAATAAGTCCAATATATAAGTACTTTCTGAAAAGATCCTCTAAGTTGTAAAAATGGGACAGGAAAAGCCTCTGAAACAGTCAGCTGGTAATGTATTTCTGCATCCTGATCTTTGCAGTGCATCCTGAATTCTAGATAATTCTTCGGTGTCACGATGGTTTTGTATTTTAGGACTATGAAGATCTGTGACAATGAGAGTGATGAAAACTTGGTTCATTTTGGCTATTTTTCTACATATCTGCTGTATTTCCCAGTGTGTTCATTTTAACTGTTTTCAAAAGTTTACCACCACAGTAGCCTTGGGTAAGGCTACGTCAGGGAAAAAATGTTTTGTTTCATGCTCAGGCATCCAGAGAGCTGGGGACAGCCTTGAGATACAGCTGTGATAACGGGGCCACTTTCTGAGCATGATTTAAACATGCTGACCTGCTGCACCAGAGCTGTGGTCAGAGGAGGCCTGGAGGTCTTATGCTGACAGCAAGCAGGAAGGGAATTCAAGGTTTGTTATTTGACGGCTGGGAGTTTTTGTTACCTAGTTGGTTGTTTCAATCCATTTTGTTTATTTCTTCCTCTAAAAGTGCATTTGTTAAAACAAATTTCCATTTGGTACCCATCAAATGTCCACAAAGGCTGTTTTCTGAGACTTCAGGATCTCACGTATAGTAAAAATAAGGTCAGCTGCTTTTTCTACTGTGGCTTTTTAGGGCTGAGCTCAGTGTCAGCTTGACCAGCTGCTCTAAAACTGACAAGACAGACTAGTTTGATTTCAGTTGTTGTGAAGCACCCTGCAGCTTGGGTTTAATAATCCAA